AATAGTGAGTCTTTATGCAATTTTTGTAAATTTTTTACCTCATCATTCAGAAAAATCAATCAGACTAAAGCTTGAATTTTGAAACTCAAAATTAATAAAGCATTTAATGAAAAATCTATAATCTTACAGATGAGGAGGCAGAACCAGGGAGATTGAGCACTTGTAATGCAGGTGATGGCTGAGAATCCAACCAGTTCTGAAGAAAGCGCATCTGAAACAGCTGCTCTTCATTGCTGCCTAGATAATGAATGACAGTTTTCTTTCATTCCTAGTCTTTCTTTAGTATTTGGAATTTCCATTCCAAACCTTGGCTTTCTATCGGGACTTTCTTGATCTTTCAAAATCACAGGTTGTTTGGAAAGAAAACAAAAAACAAAATATAACAAAACATAAAAACCTTTTTATGTTCCTCTCAACACCATGCACAGTTTGAAATTGGTTTAAAATAGACTTTCTTTTTCTTTTTTTGGTACCAGGATATGAACCCAGGGGCACTCAAACACTGAGACACATCCCCAGCTCTTTTATTATATTTTATTTAGATAAAGGGTCTAAGTGCTTAGGGCCTTGCTAAGTTGCTGAGTCCGGCTTTGAACTTGTGATCCTCCTGCCTCAGCCTCCTGAGCAGCTGGGATTATAAGCATGCACCGCTGAACCCAGATAGACTCCTGTTTTTAAAACATCATTTTAAACTGTCTCATTTTGAAACAAAATAGTTTTTTGTTGGTGTCTGTTCTGTGACCTTGAAGTTTGCATTATATCTTCAAGCAAATGGTTTGTTTAGGACATTATGTTTCTTGAGACACATATCAAGGAACTTATTACAATCATTTTGACCACAGAAGAAATAACTACCGTCATACAGGAGAAAACATTCTGCAGGGAACAAGAGCCTTCAGCAAAAGAAACACAATTATTGACATCTCAGTCAAGATGACATTTTTTTGTTCCCCTATGGTGGAATTATCTGACACTTTGAGTATCTTTATTTGTACAGTAAGGGATTATGAGAGTAACTTTCTGAACTATAAATAGAAAAATATACACCTAGAGTTGCCTCATAGTGGGATTTTCATTTAACAGATTTACCTTAATGACCTATTATATTACCTACATTCTAAATCTATAGATCCTTGATAAAACTGGTCCCATTAGACACCAGCATGCATCACACAAATAAGATAAATTTTTTTTAAAAGTGGCCACCAGCTCAAAACAGATGACTTCATTTCCCATACTAAGTCTTCATTAACATTTTTTCTTTAAATCTGAGCTTGACTAGGGCTGTCATTTTAAAAAAAAAGAAAGAAAAAAAATCACTCAATTCAAAGCTTCTTAATTGGCTTTTAAAATGTAAAGGTTAGATAGTAAATATAAAAAATTCAAGAATATGAAATACTCATTATATATGATCAATCTTTCCCCTAACAAATATAATATTCTGTAATTTTATTTATCCCTTAAAAATTTCCAAAGGAACATTGTATTTTAGGTTATACTGCATAATAATTGTCCCGAAATGAAGCTTATTTCCTAGGTAACGATTCCCTAAAGGTTTTAATCACATCATCTCATGTTGGTAGCTTCTTGTTAGAATAGGTGCCAGACCATCTTATGAAAAAATGTCTGGCACACAGAAGCAGTAGAGTAACAGAGTTAAAACTGTAAACTATTGAGTCAGACTAACTAGGCTCAAATCCTGTCTTTTCCAACTACTACCTGCATGACTTCAGGAAGATTCTTAAACTTTTTTGCACGTTGGTGTATTCATTTCAATGATACTTGCTTTAAAAAAAGGTTGTTGGGAGAATTATATGAGCTGATTCATTCCTGGAACAGCGCAGACAGAGTGGACAAAGGTTGCCACCGTTACTAATACAAAAGTCATCCTCAAGAATCATTATCATACAGCAGTTGTTATGTCATGCTCTGCATTGTTATTTTAGTAGGCTCTTCATCACTAATTATGAATAAATAATTATAGAAAAACATTCTTTGCCTTGAAGTATCTGAAGTTTAAATCCCCTTACGTTGAAATAAGACAGAACATGAAGATGTAGTATAGACTTGAAAGTGTCTTTCATTTTTATCCAACCCTTTTCCCACAAGATGGCTGAGGATTATAGGGCCTGGCCCAAGCAGAGATCTCTTAGGGTGGAGCTGGGCAAATAGAGCATCTCTGGCTTCAGTGAAAAGTCAAAGATAGGAAGAGGAGAAATCAAGATCTGTAAGTCAGAGAATCAGGCAAACATAGAGGAAGCCCAGAAGTCTAGTGTCTGGAGAACCATTGGAAGACAACAAACGCATCAGTGAGAAGTCTGACAGGATCGCCAGGACCTAGGTATCCTGTGAAGTGCTGTTGCCCAGGGCTTCCTCATGAGACCTAGCCCCTGGGCATGGAAGCCATATTGAACACGCTGGGGACTGGATTGGGCAGTGGGCATCTTTCTCATTTCTATTCTCACTGTACTGCATGGACTGCACTGGACTTAACCAGAATTTTAGTATGGGTTAGGACACACTCAAGAAGATACACCCACTTTTAAAGAAGACTGCATATATTTACAACCTCATGGCAAGAGATAAAAACCTCTTCCTCAGTAGTGAAAAGATCAAGGTAAGTTCTGCCTGACAAGGAAGCCCATACCAGAGCACAGCCGTGTGGTAAGGTACCAACAGAGGGAGGGAAGTAGAGGCCGCTGCGTCTGGTGATTTCAGACTTCTCAAAGGTTACTTTGGGGAAAAATAAAGAAACAAAAATAACAGAACAAATGTCAAATCAATAAAGTTGACTTGTGTCTGAAATGAGTCATCCTCAAGAAAAGGATCTTCATTTGTACTTGCTTTTCTCTAAATGGGTACAGGAAAGTAGCAGGATCCTGCTCAGAGTCCTGGGTGGTCATCTTGTCTGGCAGCACACACTGCGCACCAGGTGAGACCCAGTTCTGTGTACAGGCAGCAGGTACTCCCTTCAGGGAACTCAGGTAAGAGCTGAGAGCAAGGGCGGCCTGTGGAGCTCTAGGCTCCCCATGAAGGGAAGTCACAGCGCCCACGTATTTCCCTTCCAGAGGTTTTCCCGGATTCACTGAGGAAAATACGTCAGATGTCACAGAAGGACCCAGAGAAGAATTCTGTTTAATAACTCTCCCCCTCTCGCCACACACCTCTCTTCATATATATACAGATATAAGTATATAGATTATTGTTAGAGTCTGTAAACAAGTCTGGATGGTGCCTGGCATTTTGCCAGAGGGAGTGGTTTGTGAAGTAAAGCCAGGGAGCCATTAAGTGTGGAGATTCCTTATTGGTTGACTGCTGTATTGAGTTTATGTTAATTAGATAAGCTGTGTGGAATGTATATATACCCCTCCTGTCCTACAATAAACCGCTTCCACTCCTGCTGTATCAACGTACACAAGTTGTTCGTCACCCCCCCCCCCCACCCCCGGTTATTTTGCTGCAGCCGGACTGCGGCAGATTATAAATATAAATTGTTAACATATAACATATGTTTAGGTGTAGTTTTTTGTTAGGAAATAATGTTTAACAAAAACAGACTTTAAAATCATTTGTGTAAAAACAAAGTGCATGTAAACTCAAATAAGAGCATATTTAAAGAGATATAAGACTTAATCAGGATCTGCTCAAGGAATAATGAAAAGAATCTTCTTTGCATAAGTTTATATTGCTTGAACCTGTGGCAGAAATGAATTCTGGCGGCATTGTAATGTATGGATATAAAGTATCTGAATGTAGTTATTTGTTAATATTCCAGTAGATGCTATATTGCTGGAAAATTGCTCAACTTCTAACAAATACTATCACAAAAACAGGGAGACTTAACAGGTTTGCATGAAATACACATTTCAATGTCAGAAATAGCTTTTTTTTCAGTAAAATATTTACACAATTTGCATTCTCATCTTTAAACATACACTGTAGGACTTTTCTATCCACAAGATCAGTATCTGTAGGTTCCACAAACAAGATCAAAAGTATTCAAAAAATAAGTATCTATATTGTACATATACACTCTTTTTCTTGTTATTATTCCCTAAGTAATGCCAAGTAACAACTATTTATATTATTTCACATTGTATTAGGTACTATAACCAATCTAGAGATGTTTTAAAGCATAATATAGGATTTGTCAAGATTATTTATGATTCTATGCCATTTCATACAAAATAATTGGTATCCACAGATTTGGGTATCCATAGGGTATCCTGGAACCAGTCTCCTACAGATATGAGGACAATAGTACACTCCACTTTTCTCTTCCCCTTTTTTAGAATTTTCATTGCTTCTTCTTTAAAAAAAAATATTTTTTCTTAGAATCTATATACAAGTGAAAGCATATACAATATGCTGATCTAAAAAACTATAGATCATTGAAATAGAGACTGAAATGGTAATTACCAGTGGAAGAGGGAAGGGGAAAGGGAAGATGTTGATCACAGGGTAGAAATTTTCAGTTAGACCTCAGGATAAGTTCTAGTGACCTATTGTACTGCAAGGTGACCATAGTTAATAATGAATCATATGCCTCAATATTACTGAAAAAATAACCTTTTAACATTCTCACTATAAAAAAATATGTTGTTGAGTTTGTAAGTATATGAATCAACATGATTTCCTCTTCTACGATGTATTTATGGATCAAAACATCACAATGTAGCCTGTTTATAATTATTATGTCAATTAAAAATAAATTAATACAAAAGAAAATGCATGGAAAGAACTTAAAAATTTTTGCAAGAAAATCCATAAGACAAGTGCATTTTTGAAAGTATGGCAAACAGTCACTTCAATATCTAAAATTATTCTTCTTCTCGATATTCCCATTACCAAACACTGATAAATAATGAGGAAACAGCTCCTATAGCCTTCTAATGAAATTTAAATACTAAAGCAGAAATGGCAGAACCAATAGAATTTTCTGGATTTTGTTGCTGCTGCTGCTGCAGAATGATTGGCAGCATCTTTGGCATGCTACTTACTGATGGGTAGAGGTAACCTTCTCCGTTCATGGCTATATACAACCCTGTCTTCACACCCTGGATGGCAACGACACGCAGTCCCACTGGGATGAGGTTGAACAGTGCTGGAAAGATAAACATCTGTCATGAGTGGGCAGGAAGAGGGGAAGTAATACCACAACTCTTATCTTGCTCATTTACTTAAGAAATATCTTTATTGCTACTATCTGAGATGTTCCAATTAAATAACTTTTATTTCCGTTTATAATGAAGAAGACTCTGCTGTGGGTAAAATTAGCGCTGCAGCTCCAATTTATAAGTCTTCTTAGTATTCTTGCCTGCAGCATTCTGAAGAACTGGTGGGATAATGGGAAGAACTGAGCCTGTAATTATGGTTCTAGTATCACAACATCTGACACCATTGGATTCCAAAAGACATCAGCTGTGAAGAGTCTCAGAAGGCAGGATTTCAAAAGTCCAGGTTGAACGATTATTCTCATCTGTCACATCGGGAAGGTGTGATTGGTTATTGCAATGTAGTGCAGGCCAAAGTTAAAAAGGTAATGCCAAAACCAAGTTACTTTTGCAGAACTAACGTGATACACCAGCAAAGCCAAGAAAAGATGTGCATCTGATCTGCCAAGATGTGGAATGTTTGGGTTAAGAGAACTTTAACCTAATCAGTGTTACTCCATTGATAGGTCTTAACTGGGTGGTAACTGAAGGCAGGTAGGGTGTGCCTGGAGGAGGTGGGTCCCTGGGGCATGCCCTTGGGTTTATATTTTGTCCTTGTTGAGTGGACTTCTCTCTCTTCTTCGTCCTGCTGTGTCCCCAGCTGTTTTTGTCTACACACCCTTCCACCATGAGGTTCTGCCTCATAAAAGGCCTGAGGAAAGGAGTCAACCATCTATGGACCATGAGAACTCTGAAACTGTGAGCCCCCAAATATACTTTTCCTCCTTGAAATTGCTCTTACCAGATCTTCAGTCACAGCAGCAAAAAAGCTAACTAAAACAAATAGTTTTCAGATTTACCCACCTAATAGATAAAAACTCACTACCTTACGTATTTTGTTTCTTCCTTTGTTAATAAAGTATTTTTATATATGTTCCCACAGTGTAGTTAGCAATGCTATAATTGATGTCTTTAAGTCTTAATACCCCTTAATGCATTTCCATGACTGTTTAGTAAGTTTTCTAGCATATTCTAATTTGATAACTGCTTGATGATGTTAAAGATTTCATTGTAGAAACATTTATAAGAGAACTGTTAATAATCCACAGTGCTGTTATCTATGACTTATCAGGTCTTTATTAACTCAAATCTAATTCTAAGCAATAAGACCAAGCAAGAACAGGCACTGAAAGCACTAAAATGCTATAGTAAATGTATAAGTAAAATATCTTAACTTTAAGCCTTTGACTCTATTCCACAAAAGACAAATCACTTGAAAATTGTGGGCTTTTGACTTCATTCTCAGGGTCTACTCAGTGCATAATTTAAAAACTTTAACATTGTGTTCTGTTTTATTCTCAGAGACATGTTTTTGCCTAATAGGGTGGAGAAAGACACACCCCGTCTTCCAATGATTACATGTTACTGCTCCCGAGGCCTCAACATGTCTGCATTGCACAAATGATGAAAGGAAAATAGCACTTCATGGCCACAGAAACTCACCCTAGAAGAATGCTTGGGGTACACATACACATATGACTCATTGTATATCCGTTTTCACTATGCAAACCAAAGTTGGGCTGTATTGCATAGGATTCTGAGAATTAATATACCCTTATGGAAAAAGATGTTTCTTTTGCTCATTTTCTATTGTTTAATATTGAACATGGGGTGGTATTGTTAGGTATAAGGAGGTACCTTACAATTGTAGCTTCTTTGTGGGAGAAAGCCAAGTTTATTCTTGTGTAGGAAACCTGAATTGTATCATCTCCCTTACATTTTGAAAGGATAAGAACTGTAAAATCAGTACTGATCATATGCGAAATTTTAAGGTAAAACATAATCATACACCTGTCTATGCAAACTATTCTAACCTGACTCAAATCTAATTATTTCACCCTTCATCCTTCTAGTGGTATTTTAAGTGCAGATATATTTGATGTAAGGCAGATAGTATAATTCTAGAAGGCCAGTGCATCATGAACTCACCAAAATAAGGTGGTGTGGTAAAGAGAAAAATTCTAGAAATATACTTTAAACCATACCAAAATATTCTTTTTTCCCCCATAGTTTTGGAAGGAACCTGAATTATAAACTATAACATATTATCATTTACAGAAGACAATAAGAGAAGAATCCATGGAAACACCACAATGTAGAGAACTATCAGAACACACTGTGATGGGGCTGGGGGGCTAGTGAAAAACACAGATACACTAATTAAGAATTAGAATTTTCTACTCTTTTGGAATTTTTCACAATTAAAAATTGATGGTATAAGCCCTAGGGGATAAAGAATAACGAAGGTGATCCTGCAACTTTGTTCATTCTGTGGAATAAACTAGCTTCTATACAACAGTGGTTTTCAACCCTGGCTTAACATTAAAACTGGCCATGTTTACATGAGAAAATGACCACGCCCATCTCCAGACCAGTGAAATCAGAATCCCTAGGAGTGGTTTTAGGGTTTAAGGATTTTGTTATTGTTGTTGTTGTTGTTATTAATATTATTAAGAAAGCTCCTCAACTGAGCCTAACACAGTTCAGGTAAGAATGGCCATCCTAAAGCCTGTGGGGTGTTATGACAATGTTTACACATCAAGTTTATTGGCAGGGCATTTCTAAGCAGAGAGGGGTTGTTTTAGAAGTTTTGATATTTTCATAAATATTAGTGCGTATATAATATATAATAGTATAATATATATTACCATTAACCATCTATTAAGTCTTATAATGGGTAAAAAGAAGTTTTACAACACAGAAAAATAATTCACATCATCCCCAAAACTAAACAAGGAAGGAGGAAAAACCACTTCAGTGGATGAATAGATAAAAAAAAAGGTGGCCTATATACACAATGGAATTTTACTCAGCAATAAAAGAGAATAAAATCATGGCATTTGCAGGTAAATGGATGGAGTTGGAGAAGATAATGCTAAGTTAGTCAATCCCAGAAAAACAAATGCTGAATGTTTTCTCTGATATAAGGAAGCTGATTCATAGTAGGGCAGGGAGGGGGAGCATGGGAGGAATAGATGAGTTCTAGACAGGGCAGAGGGGTGGGAGGGGAAGGGAGGGGGCAGGGGATTAGCAAGGATGATGGAATGTGATAGACATCATTATCCAAAGTATGAAGTCACAAATTGCTGTCAACATACTTTATATACAACCAGAGATATGAAAAACTGTGCTGTATATGTGTAATAAGAATTGTAATACATTCTGATGTCATTTATTTTTTTAAAAAAAATCAATAAAAAAGATAATACTGAGATTAAAGCAAAAATAAAATAAAATACAGGGTGTGTGGTAATACTGACATTTGGTAGTTTTACAGGGATACACCTCTAGGACTGTGGCCATGTAGGCACCTGAATGCTCACATTCAAATGACAAGCAGTCCTTGCTACAGCATCTTCCCCATAGGGCCATATACCTGTCATCAATGACTTTCTCCATTTTTCCTTTCTAGAGACCTCTAGGTATCAGGGTGGAACCCTGGGAGGACAGGGGCATGGAGGTGCACCATCCAGGAGCCCCTTTGCCTCTTCTCATCTGAAATTACAGAAGCACCTTAGCAGGCAGGTTCTGATTTTTCTTTCTAAATAATTCTATATTTAGTAGAAAATGTGTTGAACTCAAATCAGAAAGATTTCATGGTTCAAGCCCTTAGTTTTTCATTTGTTGACTTTTAGGGACATATCTGGGTGGGTTTTAGGTTATTTCTCATTTATTTTTCTGTTTATGGATGACATCCTTGGTTTATGCTCAGAATCATCAAAAACTGAAAACATGATTATGAATCACTGCATCACCCCCCTCCTGAAACCAAGCAGGCTGTGCTCCCATTAGCAGCTGTACATTGGCTTGTACTTAGAGACTCCATGTGAAAAAACTCTCAGCTTAAGTGTTATATCTGTATGGAGGTGTCAGCATTTCTAGTGCACATACTTATTTTTTTAAAAAATTCTTTTCAATGCTAACAATTTCTCTGAAGTTTCTGCGACTATTGCAGTTAATCAGAAGAAAAACAATTTTAAAATTCATCCTAAAAATGGTGGTATTCAATTTTGAAACGTGACAGTGCACAAAAGGAGAGTTAATTGGTAATTCCCATTGCTTTTATAAATCTACTATAATCCTGCCAATTTTTGTTAAATTTTGTAATCATAAATCTTGAATAGCCTTTTAAGGAGAGAATCTTTATCTTACCTCCTTTAAGTCTTTGCAAATGTTGAAATGATAACACAGCTAACCTAACTGGATTACAGTGCACATAAAATACAGCAAAGGGAGTGATGGGCCAGGTCTTTTCATAGGAATTGAACTCCCATGAGTGGGGGCACTTGATTTGGCTCAGATGTGTTTTCTCTGGAGCTCCTATCCTGTCTTTCTTAGGACTGTTCCCAGCAGAGGAGTTTTCTGAAGTGACCTAGTGTTTCTTGCTCCATTGAGGGCAGATTTTATGCAGAAAGAAAAGCCACAGGCATTGAGAGAGCAGAAGGCAGCATCTCTGATTATCTCGTCTTTCCAACTCTGTGTCTAACGGTCTACAACTGTGTGTGCATGTCTATGCTGTCTCCATCAGCACATTGCCAATTCAGAAATGACAGTGCTGCTTATTCAATTCCCAATCAATACGCTCTTTAAAGACAATGTCTACTTGACACATCTCAAAGTGATATTGATTCTCATCATTAGGGGTCAACAATTTGGTGTTACTGCCTCCCCAAACACTTCTCTTCTAAAAGAGAAAGAAGCTGGGGGAAAATTCATAAAACTTTTGTCCTGAAGAAAATTATTTTTCCAAGCAGTCCAATGAAGCAGCATTTTTCTATAGCTCTGGTTCATTTTCTTTGTTGAAAACTCTTGTCATAAAAAGGATGACATCACTCAAAACACAATGGCTCAGAAAGTGAGTGCAGTTATGGAGAACAAGATCTTATGTCTTATTAGACTCTGGGCAAGGACAGCCAGAGAACAGTGAGGACATAGAAACTCACAAATCCCTAAGCTCCATGACCCACAACACTGTCAAACAGGAACCAGAGGAAATGCCTCTTGGTGGAAGAATGGGTACAGAGTTACAGATGGGAAAGGAAATGAGCAGACACATATGCACGAACTTGACCACAAAAACCTGCTCTCTTTTCTGGGTCAAAGACAGGAAGTATTGATCACCTTCAAAGGTCCCATCTACTGATAAAATCTTAACAAGTGAGCAATGTTTTCTGACAAAGGTCTTATGAATTAAAAGCTTCTCTGTGCCTGGATTTTTACTTTTCCTTTTCCTAAATTTAAAAAGAAAAAGAAAGAAAGTAACAATAAAGCACGGAACAAATCATTTTTTTTTAAAAAAGGATATAGAATGCACATAAAGAGAAAAAAATCAGAAATTTGAAAGAAGGAAAATGGAGACAAAGTTAAATCAAAAAGAAGTTGGAGAAAAATAGAAGTGAAGAGATGGCCAAAACCTAAAATAGTAAACACAATGGTTGGAAAAATATTCATATTTCAAGTAGAAACACCAAACATAAAAATTAGCCTATTTTATATCAAGGGCTTCTTTCAGAATGAGTGTTACTGAATACAATTATTTAGTGTAAATTATTTAAATTATTAGTATAATTTTAAAAAGGAAGTGCCTGTCATCTGATGCTATCTATGCCAATTCCCTGTAATAGAATGGTGTTCTTCCACAGGTGAAGAACTAATGATGAATGGGTGGTGAGACGCACATCGACTCCTAGTAACATTTTCTATGATGAAATATTCCTACTATAATAGCTTTTACTTTTCACTATCATGAGCAGTAAGAGGTGTGTCAGAGGGAATCAGTATAAACAGAATATGGGAAAGGAAAACGCATTTGAGTAAGAAGGCACAACAGACAGACCATACCATGACAAGATAAATACAAAGAAATAGTAAAAGGAGGACAGACATGATTACAATGGAAACTCTGGATATTTTTAGTAAAATGATGGACCCAATACCATGAAGAGGTTAAAATTTGAGTCAATATGTTTAGAGATATACAGCCTGCATGTCCTCTTCATAAGGAAGAGTTCTTGTTAAATGCAAAGAATCTGAAAAATTATATTTCTATCATTTACAACAACTTAATCTTTATAGCTCTTGAATTTTCCACAGGTATCATTGAGAAGCTGCAGGCCTCGTAAAATAGTATATTCAAAGGAAATACATACTCAGTTTTCATCTTAATACACTAGTGTACTTACTTGGCTATTATGATAATAAAATTAAAAGTCTGGAAAACTGTGTGAAAAACCTGAGATTATCATCTTACAATTACCTTAAAGTCTCAGATTTCGTTTGTTTCTGCATTGTATTTTTATTCGTGTGGCTTTAGTAAGATTATACTGGCACTCTAGTGTGTAACATTTGTAAAACTGAACCAACTAACCAAACTTTTGCAAAGGAAGCTCTAAAATGTCACGGAAGCAGCAGTGCATCTTCTCCCAACCGTGCTGGCTGGTGGCCTGTGTAGTCACTTACTAGAATTAGTGCTGTCGTCCTTGGTTCCGTCGAGAGCTCCATCGGGGTGCATTTGCAAGTAGTAGCCTTGCCTGCAATACAACCTGGTCACTATACCCTTGAGCTGGGGATCTGAAAGGCAAACAGAGTGGTCATGAGCCTCACCACGTGGCAAGGGAGACTGTTTTCTGTTTCTTTTTCAGAAATAACAGGACATTCTATATAGCAGTAGCATATTTATTCTATGTCTCAGAAGTATGAATCATAGAAGGTAAAGAAAATACTGTAGTAAGCCCCAGAAAATAGGCATTTTATGAAACTAATATATTTGTGTTTAATTTATTCCTTAAACTATTAAACTAACTAAGGTATTAGTTTAATTATTGCTTTAAATTACAATGTAACTTAATATTATCATTCAAGATGGCAGGGATCTTGCAAAGCTGTAACTCTAACAAACTTTTTTAAAGACTTTTAAATGGAGTTTTCCTTTTACTTAAAAGTCCCCAAATGTGATAAACCTGTATTCTTTTAAAAATTTATGCTAATACTTAACACACATTCTTAGAAAAAGTCCCAGTTTAGAGAACATCCCCTTTTATCCAGGGTTGCCCTCCATGCCTGAAGGGATCTGTGGTGGCCAGACACTTGCAAAGGAGAATGGAACACTGTACCTGTAAACTGAGATGAAGCACAAGCAAAGCTACGTGAGAGGGCAGGTGTGGCTCACTGACAGAGCAGGTGCTTATCATGGGAAGCTCCCTAGTTCAATCCCCAGCACCAAACACACACACACCAAAAAAATACAAAACCAACTGCACCAACCTACACAGGGAGGTCAGCGCTACAGCAATATTCTGGACAAATTAGACAGATAAACCTATCTATTTACCTAACCAAAAGAGACAGTAAAATTATACAAAACAGAATCTGACTCTTGATCAAAAGATATAGTTTTGTAGAGGGCAGTGGAAATTTAGATTCACAAAAAGGGAAATCACAAGTCTTGATCTTCTCATTTGATGATTCACAGAAAAAGTAACCAGGCTAGTAATCCAGTGCTTCCCAAAGGGCCACTGTATCTTTGAGAATAAATATTTGCATGTGGTTTTTCAAAGGCCGTCCCCATCTCAGGACTAGATTTGGTGTGGGACATCATAATCCTCACCATAGCAACTGGCTTCTCTCCACAATAGCTAGATGGGATATGCAAATGTGATCGTACTGTCAAACAGCAGGACACTCCTGAAGGGTGAAACCAGCCTCTTGTTATCCACAGAGAAGCAGCAGACACACAACAAGGGGACACCAGCAATATACATGCAAAAAAAAAAATGCATAGCTGCCCCCAAATAGAACAGCCTCAGGCTTTGGTGAGTCTTTGGGAAATGAAACACAATCCAATAACTGTTTCTATGCATGATACACATTTGCTTCATTGATCATATGAAATTGGAAAGAACCTTCTGGAAAATAATGCTCAAGTAGCACCATATCACAGCAATCTGAACACACATGTCAGGACATAGATGCTTTTAAGACTAGGGTGATAAAAGAAAATACCTAAGTGTGTAATAGGTTTGAGTTACATGTGTTCCTCATTCTGTACTATGTAACTTCAAAATCACTTAATTCTAACATGCACATTAGTGAAAAATTGTTACTACTGCACCTTACCCAGCTGGTGCTTATCATGGGAAGCTGGATTTGAGTGGCTATAAACTCTGTCTACTGAAGACTTCTTTTCTGATTTTTGCTTTGTCGTGTTTATTGTCTTTTCTGAAAATAGGTAGCAAGAAAGAGATCAAAAGTAAAAAGGTAGGGGAGAATTTCTTGATTGCCATGGAACACAGAGGATTTAAGAGGCTGATGATTTTTCTGTTGAACCTTTATGTTCTGACATCACTTATTTTTAAATAATCCTATATTTTTGCTCATAAGTCTTCCGGAGTTACTGATCAGGCTAGGCAGTAAGAAGATGCGGACCTGCTCATAGATTAAGGAATCTTAATTACACAGAGAGCACTTTTGGGCCAGGCCTCATTTGTTAAGAGACTAAAGATAAAGCAAAAGTGTTTTGAACCTTCCTTTAATTACATGAAAAAAGCAAATTAATTTTGATTTATCTAGCTCCACTAAGCTTCGCATTTTTGTTTTTAAAAATCACAACAACATTGAGTTCTTTTCAGGGGTCAGACATTGTTCTAAGAATATTCCATGGTTAACTCATGGAATCCTCACCACACCTCCACTTGATAGGAAGGCGATTCTGAGAATGAGAAATTAAGTAACCAGACAAAGGGCACAGCACTCAGAACACTCACCTCTGGGCCCTGCCCACAGAATGTGGCCTCCACAGCCTGAAGGATTAAACCAAAACCTCTTAATAACCTAAAATAAATGGAAGCCAATATGCTAAAATAAATTTAAAAAATAAAAATAAAATAAGTAAAACAGAAACTCCACTATTTCAAAGAGTGCCGTAGCCATGCCTGCACTCCAATCCTACGTACCCAGAGGTGAATGTGGGATATAAAATCATAGTGCAAACATTAAAAAGGATTAAAGTTCCTAAAAATCAGGTCCCCTCCACTTTGTCATTGGCTGCATTACCAACAAATCTGCATCCCATGAAACCCTCACCAAACCTGAAGCTTGATTACTGTAAGTTTATAGTTTCCTCCACTACTATCTGCACTCTCCCCCTTCCATCACCTCCTGCCAAGACTATCTCTACTCCTGATCTTACTATTTATGTTAACAGTGTCAGTCCCTTGAAGGTCATGCTTGTTTTTAACCCCACCTGAAGAGTTGCTGTCTCCTATAGATGCTTCTTACAGTATCCCTCCCTCTTCTCCATTTTCCTATTCTCAGGGCCAGCCTCTCATTACCACTCTGTGGTGCTCTTCCCACCTGCACCTGCCTATTGTGCTCCATCAGATCTGGAAATACACAGTGACTCTTCACTGTCCATGACTTATGCAGATGTCCCCCAGCGATCAGGCCCCATCTTTTCTGCTGGCCTGGTCTCTGACTGCCACACCCATCCCCTCCATGAAGCCTCACCTGGGTCCCTGTGGGTTGACTGCAAACATCCCATAATTTATCCTGTTCCCTTTACCTCACTATCTCCAGAATGTCCACCTGCACATAAGTGTTCCTTGCACTCCTGTGCAGGCCAGCACCCCTCGGCATGCACTTTTCCCTAGTAAACTCCTTTTCCTCTTATCCAAGTCTAGGTGCAATACTTCATTTCCATGGGGACATGTTGTGACCCCTCTGACAAGGGCATATTCTTCCGCTGGGTGCTTTTATGGCCAGTTCATCATAAGTTTAACTTATTTTTTACACATCAAAAATTATTTAACTTTGAAACCTTCTAAGTACATTAACAAGTACAGAAAGCAAACAATTTGCCTCCATGTACCTATCTCTGCTATTGAACAGATGTGAGTATTTTGCTTTACAACTCGTGATCCTAATACCTATTTGTGTAATTGTATGATTAACAGCTGCCTCACAAACTGGAGTGTAAATTTCATGGAGAAAGTTGAAATGTGTAATGTTTTTCATCATTACATCTCCAGAGTCTGAATGAATAGGAACTGTGCATTAAGTATTTGTTGAATGAATGCTACCAAGGGGGTAATAAAATATCCAGTAATTCATACATTGCTGGTAAGAGTGAGAACCACAATAACATGAAAACCCTAGATGGCAATTACAACAAAACCTTAAAACAATCCACAACTTTGACCAGGGAGCTGCACTTTCCAGACCTCTAACTTAAACATAAATCCCAAGTATCGTAAGGCTTTGTGTAAAACCTAAGTGTACATAACACGAGCATGACAGTGTAAAAGTACTGTACAAAGCATATGAGCAAGAATACAACAAAATGATAAGTATATTGTATTTTATGGTAATTGGAATATTTAATTTTCAACATTTTATTATTTGCTAATTTTTCTATTGTGAGGGCATATTAATTTTCCAATGAAAATGCAGAGGTTTTAATAAAAACCTATTAATGACTTGGATGAAGAATGAATGAAAATAGCATTTCATATGTACTGCTAGCATTGCAGTGATACATGTGAATAACCAAAAGTACATACTACAGCTATAGCGATTGGTTCAATTTCCAAGGGTTCCATTTGTTAGTCTATTTTTATGCACAGTTTATGGAGAAAATAGCCACATGAGTTATGTGCCATAGGCAAAGGTATAATCAAGTTCCTAGAGCAACTGTGACCACAAAGATGCAGCCCTCACTCTCTCACTCCACAGAAAGCCTCAATTTCAGCATAATATATGCTGGACAACTCACCGACATGTTATTTTATGTCCCTGTGAGAGAAAAAATTGTCAAAAAGGGACAAAGAGGATCTCACACAATGGCCTGCACAAACAGGACCCACAAGAGCAACCATCACTGAAGCAGATTCCTCAGAAGAAATGGTGTCCAAGCGGTGGGCAAGGAGGGCCATTGCACAATGTGAAAATACAACAGAAAATCCCTGCTGGTTTATCAGCTCCAAAAAATGAGAACGAAGTTAAGCTTTGCTCATTACTTAATACATAAAATGACATTGGTTTCTTCAGGTGGTCACATGAAACATCCGGTCCTTAAAGTACCTGAGACAGGTTGGATCATCCTGTAATTCTGAGGGGCTGCTTAGGGACACTGGCCTTCCGTCATGTCTCCAATGGGTACTTTGCCATCTCTTGAAGTTTATGGGCTCCTGGGTAAGTGTATTAATAAGTTATGCTTCCGAGTTTTAAAGGTAGGATAGTTTAAGAGAAATGTATCCCACAGAGATAAAATGGATTGAAGGTGATGCTTCTAAAACTAGCAAAAGCAAACCATGCAAATAGCAAAGAGGACATTTTCCCCTCTGGATTATGTAGTTAAACCAAATACACAACAAACAACTAACAAAAAATAATGATCTGTTCAGATCGAACACGAAGTCAGCCAAAAGAGCCTGAACATGTTAAGGCAATCAATATGTATATAATGACAGATCCTTGCCCTAAATGAACACTATGCCTTGAGATATGAAACAGTGAAAATGTGACAAGTGTGAAGCAAACTCACATCCAGGCACGTGCTCACATTTTTCATTAAA